AAAGAAGAAAGTGACGACGATGGACACAGCTGAACGATGGCGATGGACAGATTAGACAAAGGAAGAAGTGACGACGATGGACACAGCTGAACGATGGCGATGGACCGATTAAACAAAGGAAGAAGTGACGACAACGGACACAGCTGAACGATGGCGATGGACAGATTAGACAAAGAAGGAAGTGACGACGATGGACACAGCTGTACGATGGCGATGGACAGATTAAACAAAGGAAGAAGTGACGACGACGGACACAGCTGAACGATGGCGATGGACAGATTAGACAAAGGAAGAAGTGACGACAACGGACACAGCTGTACGATGGCGATGGACAGATTAGACAAAGGAAGAAGTGACGACGACGGACACAGCTGTACGATGGCGATGGACAGATTAGACTAAGGAAGAAGTGACGACGACGGACACAGCTGAACGATGGCGATGGACCGATTAGACAAAGAAGGAAGTGACGACGATGGACACAGCTGAACGATGGCGATGGACAGATTAGACTAAGGAAGAAGTGACGACGATGGACACAGCTGAACGATGGCGATGGACCGATTAGACAAAGAAGGAAGTGACGACGATGGACACAGCTGTACGATGGCGATGGACAGATTAGACAAAGGAAGAAGTGACGACAATGGACACAGCTGTACGATGGCGATGGACAGATTAGACAAGGGAGGAAGTGACGGCGATGGACACAGCTGTACGATGGCGATGGACAGATTAGACAAGGGAGGAAGTGACGACGATGGACACAGCTGTACGATGGCGATGGACAGATTAGACAAGGGAGGAAGTGACGACGACGGACATAGCTGTACGATGGCGATGGACAGATTAGACAAAGAAGGAAGTGACGACGATGGACACAGCTGAACGATGGCGATGGACCGATTAGACAAAGAAGGAAGTGACGACGATGGACACAGCTGAACGATGGCGATGGACAGATTAGACAAGGGAGGAAGTGACGACGACGGACATAGCTGTGCGATGGCGATGGACAGATTAGACAAAGAAGGAAGGGACGACGATGGACACAGCTGAACGATGGCGATGGACAGATTAGACAAAGAAGGAAGGGACGACGATGGACACAGCTGAACGAGGGCGATGGACAGATTAGACAAGGGAGGAAGTGACGACGATGGACACAGCTGTACTATGGCGATGGACAGATTAGACAAAGAAGGAAGTGACGACGATGGACACAGCAGTACGATGGCGATGGACAGATTAGACAAGGGAGGAAGTGACGACGATTGACACAGCTGAACGATGGCGATGGACAGATTAGACAAAGAAGAAAGTGACGACGATGGACACAGCAGTACGATGGCGATGGACAGATTAGACAAGGGAGGAAGTGACGACGATTGACACAGCTGTACGATGGCGATGGACAGATTAGACAAAGAAGAAAGTGACGACGATGGACACCGCTGTTGGATTGCGATTGACAGATTAGACAAGGGAGGAAGTGACGACGATGGACACAGCTGTACGATGGCGATGGACAGATTAGACAAAGGAAGAAGTGACGACGATGGACACAGCTGTACGATGGCGATGGACCGATTAGACAAGGAAGAAGTGACGACGATGGACACAGCTGAACGATGGCGATGGACCGATTAGACAAGGGAGGAAGTGACGACGACGGACATAGCTGTACGATGGCGATGGACAGATTAGACAAGGGAGGAAGTGACGACGATGGACACAGCTGTACGATGGCGATGGACAGATTAGACAAGGGAGGAAGTGACGACGATGGACACAGCTGTACGATGGCGATGGACAGATTAGACAAGGGAGGAAGTGACGACGATGGACACAGCTGTACGATACCGATGGACCGATTAGACAAGGGAGGAAGTTACGACGACGGACATAGCTGTACGATGGCGATGGACAGATTAGACAAGGGAGGAAGTGACGACGATGGACACAGCTGTACGATGGCGATGGACAGATTAGACAAGGGAGGAAGTGACGACGACGGACACAGGTGTACGATGGCGATGGACCGATTAGGCAAGGGAGGAAGTGACGACGATGGACACAGCTGTACGATGGCGATGGACCGATTAGACAAGGGAGGAAGTGAGGACGACGGACACAGCTGTAAGACGGCGGCTTTGGACACAGTTATATGGCACCTATGGACAGTGCTGAATGACGACGACGGAAACACTTCTGTGACGACCATGGACACACCTATGTGCTTAGATCCTAAACACAAACTGTACTACTTGACGGTGTTGACGAGACCTGTAACGTTTTAACAATTATACGATTTTAACACTCCTTTCCTTACAAAAGACGAATTTATGAGAGCAGCAGGACTAATGTCTCTTGCAAATTCTTAATAGGTTTGTGACAATCTTTTCCCTTTTGATAAACAAGAAGGCAATCACATCGGAATCGAATTCGCATTCCCTATTAGTTTTACATTAGTAAAAAATAAAACGAAAGTATTCTTTTTACGCACCGTGAAATACGTTTACGGAACTACTATTGCGCGCATGACGTTGTTCAACTTGGCATTATGGTGTTTTGCAGAATAAACTGAACACCGATATTGAAGATAATTGCTCACACATGATATTTTCATTTTTCAAAAGACGTCAAAGTTGTCACGGAACGCTTCTATGATAAATGATAATTTCACTGCTTTATTGACAAGGCCGTGGATTAAGTCAATATTGTAGCAAGCATGGATCATATTATTGCGAGGAATATATAATTTAGCAACGCATTATCAACTTATCCTGCCGGTGTGTCGGGAAGGATGGATCGATTGATGCCTTTAACCTTTCAAAGTCAGACTCTTATGGTAGAAGCGCCGTGATTATACGTTACTATCAGGTTATTATTGATAGGCAGCGAAGTTGTTTTTTCCACACAGAGCGGTTGGATTTTAAAGGTGTAACATCAAGTTTACCCGAGTTCTTTAATGACACAATATAAACAAGTATCAGAATATGTAATTTATTACAAGGTGCTGCGCTAAGATAGCAGATGTTACTTAGAACATTCCATCAACAGGGTGGCCCAGTCGTCTAGGGCGCCGTAATGTACTTCCAGAGTTGCGTCCCTTGGGCACGCCAGAAATCTATGATCATAGGTTCGAATTCCATTTCGCTGCGATTATGTTTTCAGGTTTGTCAGCACCACACCCGTGCATCCCTTCAGGCTTTATGCCAACATCAAGCTGACACGCCGTGATATAACTGGAATAGTGGTCAAAGTGGAGTCAAATTTGAGTGAGTGAGTGAATCGGGTTTAACGCCGATTTTAACAGTATCGTGTGGGAGGAAAGCCCCAAGTGATGCAGGTCTCAGACGTTAACCACTTCGGTGAAACCCACGAGCACGGGTATGGTGCTGATCATGACAAACCTAGAAACATAACCGGGGCGAACCGGGATTCGAACCCACAACGATAGTTTTCTGGCGTGCCCAAGGGACACAACTCTGCACAGCGAATCGCGTCGCCTTTAGACGACTGGGTCACCCGTGCCTCCAAGATTATTTTTGGAGAAATGTATTTATTTAAAAACATTTTCATTTTGCACAAATCACGAATCTTTTCTTCGCACTTCAGTTGTAACAAATAAAAATGGAAATAGGAAATTTTGCTGAGGGATTATGTTTTAAAGAAAGGGGCAGTGGGGTAGCTTAGCGGTAAAAGTGTTCCCTCGTCACGCCAAAGACCCGGGTTCGAATCCCCAAATGGGTACAAATTGTGAAGGTCATTTTTGGTGTCCCCCGCCGTGATATTGCTTGAATATTGCTAAAAGCGGCGATAAAGTCACCCATCCCATCCAATCACTCGCCCACTCACACACTCATTCACTCGCCCTTTCAAAGTAAAAAAAGCTTTTCCCTTGAACGATGACGTTTACCACTTCGGTGAAACCCACGAACACGGGTATGGTGCTGACAAACCTAGAAACATAATCGGGGCGAACCGGGATTCGAACCCACAATCATAGGTTTCTGGCGTGCCCAAGGGACGTAACTCTGCACAGCGAATCGCGACACCTTAGACGACTGGGCCACCCGTGCCCCTACATGTTGTACGATGAGGAAGAACAATTGCGTGAAGGCAAGTTTACCTGCAGTTACGTCGTCTCTGTGGAGTTGCCAATGTACACGTTACAGTGGGCGGCCGGGTAGCCTAGTGGTTAAAGCGTTCGCTCGTCACGCCGAAGACCCGGGTTCGATTCCCGACATGGGTACTATGTGTGTCGCCCATTTCTGGTGTCCCCCGCCGTGATATTGCCGGAATATTGCTAAAAGCGGCGTAAAACCATACTCACTCACTACACGTAACGGTAAACGTACTCTGAAACTACTGTACACGCTGTGTTGGAGGAGAAATGAGGGACAATGGGAGGAGTGCAAATAACATCGATCGATATGGAAGTGGATAGATGTTTTCCGCAAATTCAAATTAGGTGTCCAGTTTCAGCGAAGTGTTTGAATCGCTCAGATGTCATGTTTCAAAGAAAAATAATGTTTATGAACTTTGTAGGTGCAATCGGGTGACGTACTATATGATAACACTGGCTACGCTGATATGTCATTTGTTTGCATTAAGAGAAAAATGAGTGTGTGAATAAGTAGAATTTTACGGCGCTTTACGTAATAATCTGGCAATTTCACTGCAGGGAACACAAGAGATAGGCTTCACACATTGAATCCATTTGGGAATCGGGCCTGCGTCCCCATAATATATTAACACAAAAAAACATAATATTTTTTTCTATTAAGTTTCATAAAATATCCTTGTTCTGATCAACATAAACGATTCCAACATTGATGTACATTTATCGATACCACGCTCGCCACTTGATAAACGAGTCAATAAGTAGTAACATGTCAGCTGTTGTTATTTGATGTCGGAGATAAACAGTGTTCAAGGTTGACCGCCACAGAACAAAAGAATTGATTAACTGACATGGTCAAAGGGAGGTAACTCTAACGACACGTGTTGTTTTTGCCTGTTCAGACTACAGGTGAGGTCCGATTACACTGTCGATGTCCCAAGTGCTCTGAGAAGACGGCCGGCCACATTTAAAAGGCCATGGGGATAGTTAAATCTTTATTTCAGAGGGATCCATTGGGTGATGACACCAGCAATGAAACTCAAGGGCTAACGGGCAGCAAATATCCCCAGTATCAAATGTAGGTCAAACATATTGTCGTATATCTCGTGTGAATGTTGATGTATTTTTTCGCAGACACATTGACTGAACTCTGGCCTCAGCGCCTCAGTGCAAGTCCATACAACCCTCGCCGTCACATGGTATTTTCACTTGTCATGGGTGATGAGTTTGTTGTCTTGCCAGTTTCAGCATATGACGATGAACCCATCATTTCTGTGAATTGTTTCAAGAATATCGTGAACAAATGACGGGTGATTTACCTCAACTAATAGCTTGTGTTGAGTTACTGTTAAAACCTTAATTTTAGAACCACTCTGATTTCATGTGTAAACACATTTTTAATATTCACTGTTTCATTTAAAAATCTAATTAAAAACGTGTTAAGGAATGTTTAACGGTAGTACGTCGTGTTCATAAAAACTGACCTCAAACGTCCTCAACACCCTTGTAACGAATATTTCTCTCTTTGTTGTAGTCCAGATGCAAGTCCTTCCACAAAAGAGGTAGGTATATAAACAGTATTTAATTTACTAATTATTCTCTAAATAATTTTCCATTTCAAACCTGTAAATTTGATACTGTATATAATATATCTACCTTACAGCAGATTGAAGGGCTACGGGCGAAGGCCAACGACTACCGCCAGAGATACCATGACTTGTCGAGGCGTGCTAAACAAGCCTACAACAGCGGACACAAAGCAGACGCTCACACATTCTCACAGCAGGTCATACATGACGTTATTTCCTGACGTTATTAACAAATTTAATTAGAAAAGAAAAAACCCATCACCTTCACTTGCTCGTTACATACACCAACATATGTTTTACTCATCCTTGTGTAAGATAAACGTGACCTATCGTTATTCGATAAAGCGATAAACATGTTCAGGCATATTATAAACCTTCCGCCTGTTGTATTGTATCTTTCTACCTCGTAATAAGTTCTTGATGATTTGAATCCCGGTTCGTCCCGATTATGTTTCTAGGTTTGTCAGCACCATACCCGTGCTCGTGGGTTTCGACGAAGTGTAAACGTCTAAGACCTGCATCACTTCGGGCTTTCCTCCGACATTAAGCTGATACGCCGCGATATAACTGCCGTGGAATACTTTTAAAAGCGGCGTTAAACCCAACTCACTCTCGCTCACCCGAGGGGCGGTCGGGTAGTCTAGTGGTTAAAGCGTTCGCTTGTCACACCGAAGACCCGGGTTCGATTCCCGACATGGGTACAATGTGTGAAGCCCATTTGCGGCTTCCCCCGGTTTGATATTGCTGGAATATTGCTAAAAGCGGCGTAAAACCATAGTCACTCATTTATTAGGAAGTAAGATCTCCGCAATGTAATTGCTTCACTCTTCGGTCTAACATAACCGATACCCGATTGCGGAGGTCTTACTTCCAAGACCACAACCTCGGGGTCCTGCTTTATCCTTCACGATTTATAGTGCTAGCCCACTGAAATACCATGCCGCAGTTTAACACGAATACCCCACTCAGACACAGTGTACTGACTCTGAGCCGACCAGTCCTTGTTTCAGCCACTTAGGGCCGAGCGCCAAGGGTAATTTTACAGGGTACCATTTTTTAACGTCTTTTGGTGTGATGGGACCCCGGACCTTCTGCTCTCTAGGCGGACGCTCTACCTCTAGACCACGGAGGCGGTCTACTCACTCACTGCTTTCTCCTTTTAGGCTCACGATAACAAGGAGGAAATGGAGGACGCCGACAGAAAAGCCGTGGACCTTCTGATCCGACAACAGTTAATATTCATTATTATCATATGATAAGACAATAACGTAATGACGATGCTTGTTTGGTTGTTTTGTTTGTTGTTAAACGCCGCAATCAGCAATATTCCCCCTATGTGACGGCGGTCTGTCAATAATCGAGTTTGGACCAAACGATCCAGTGATTGACATCATGAGCATCGATCCACGCAATTGGGATACGATGACGTGCATCAACCAAGTTAGCTAGCCTGACCACCCGATAACCTTAGTTGCCTCTTACCACGAGTATAGTCGCCTTTTAAGGCAAGCATGGGTTTCTGAAGACCAACTGTAACGCGGATCTTCACGGGTACACAATAATGATGATGATATGATGATGATGATGATGATGAAGATGTTGATGTTATGATGATGATTGTTACTATTGTGAAGGTGGTTCATTATCAGGTTGGTGACATCCACAGTGACATCATTGTTTAATTAAAAGACGGAAGACCAGCGTTCATTTATTCCGATACAGTGCCTGTTGTGTTTGTGCCAAAGACGTTCAGGGAATTGTTTTTTGCTCACAGAAAATGATTTTTGTTTTAGGCAAGCGTCGATCAACCAGGGAGAGCTCGATCTTCACGGATTCTATGTGAACGAAGCCATTGATTGTGTGCGAGATGTACTAGGTGAGGTGAAAGGGGGTTTAACGTCGCGTTCAAGATTACTGCGCTTATATAACCACGCGTATGCACGTGTGTGTGTGTGTGTGTGTGTGTGTGTGTGTGTGTGGATGAACATTATATGTTATTGTTAACAATGTTTTGTTAACGTCCCTATCAGCAATATTTCAGCAATATTACGACAGCCTGTAAATAATCGAGCCTGGACCAAACAATGTAGTGATTGATATTATGAGCAACGATCACGCCGTCCGGTACGATGACCCCCATGAGCCAAGTCCCCGAGGCAAACTACCTTGTCCATTTCGTTGCTTCCGCCACATGCGTCATGTGTTTTATTTGGTCCCATCGCCCGATGCGATTCCCGACTCATGTATTGTATTCCCATAATATATCCCTGTAGAAAGCAGTGTAGTGTATACCGCAGAACAGTAGGTAACAATATTTCAATCAAAAACATAATACATTTTCATCATATGTGATATATCAATATGTCTTTCATGGATCTGTAGGTAATAGTTATGCGAATCATGTTTGTTGTGACAAGTTCCTCACAGCGATATCTCGAAGGAAGTTGTGAATGGAGTTTGAAAATTTAAACATAGAAGGGAGACAACTCTGGTGAGACTACTGATGACACTTGCTCTGCACTTCAGCCGACCAGTCAGAAACATATCAACTGACGGTCATCACTGGGAAGGGCCTACACAGCACGGGTGGCGTTGCTAAGATACGCCCAGCTGTCATCAGCTATCTGGAGAAGCATAACTACAGGTTCGCTCTAAATATATTCCTTGCGTGTGCCCCATTTTTTTGTCGTTTAGATATATACAACTCCATGAACTCCAGATTTTTCATATAACTACATTTGATTTTTTGGGGGCATGAAGGATTTACTGTAGTCATATGAAAAATTCGGGTGTGAGAGATTACCTATTGTCATATGAAAACATCTGAATTCTTACTTCTTTTGAGTAGTAAATATATATACGTTGTTTTAAGGAGTTGTGTACGTTTTACGTTTAGAAGCCGGCCTGATCCGTCTATGAGATGTGTGTAATTAAATGTGGTTAAACTTGTACTTCATAAATGTTTCATGAGAATTATTATGAAATCATATTTTCAGTGACATGAATTACATATTTTTACAGGTACACACTGTGTCCAGGTGTGATTGAAGTCGGCATCCAGACAGTTGCCCCTCGAAAACCACGGGGGGACGAGGATGAGTGCTGCGTCATCTGTTAAGATTCTGCCAAACACTTGCCGACCTCACCCCTAACCATCCAACACTTACCGACCTCACCCCTCCTCACTCCCTCCCCACCCAGCATTTGCCGACCTCCCCCTCTCCTCTCCCCACCCAACACTTGCCGACCTCAACCCCCCTCACTCCCTCCGCAACCAACACTTACCGACCTCGAAATGCGCGCCATAGGTCCCGGGATATAGCTTTAATATTGCTGACTGCGGCGTTAAATAGAGAATCTCACCCGATAGTCTTTTGATATCAAATATATCAACACGAGTTGATAAAACTGAAAAAATTCCGAGGCTTGCCGAGGATTTTTGCCACTTTTATCAACGCGCCAACGCGCCAACGCGCCAACACGCCGCGATATAACTGGAATCATGTTAAAAGCGGCGCTAAACCCACCTCACTTACTCACTTTAAATATATTACCTGATACAATCACACTCGTCAATCCGTGTTTATGTGCGGTGCTCCTAGATGCTCGTCGTGTGTATGTATGGTGTCCTCATTACGTGTTTGCCAGGTTAATTGCCGTTTACAGGTAGATACGCATACGTAGCACGAAGACTTCATGCAGATGTCAGAGGTTTTTCATGAAAAAAATTACCCTCCCTTAATACTTGTCATATTTTGGGATGACCCTCCCCATGTCCTTGTACATTTTTTCATGACCCTGTCCGAAAAGATCGAATTCAAAAGAACTTTATTTTTTATCAAAAAATGTGAATGTACTCATGGCCCTCCAAAGTATGTGTATTATTTTTTATGACTCTCCTTAAGAGATTGTCATATTTTTTAGTGCCCCTTGACCCCACCCCCATGACTCGTGACTGATCCCTTACTGCGACGGGAAACGGACAAATCTGACAAAATACTCAATGGATTCCCCATTTTGGGAAGACCTACTAGCATTTGACGTGGCCCTATTCCATTATATTTTGGCTGAGTTGTACATGTTGGCATACGATGTGTCTCAGAGATCCTTATTCTTTGGTGGCACCGACTACGATCGGTTGTTTCCACTGAATGAAACCAGTTTCCAAAAGAAATATTGCTTTAACAGATAATATGTCCTTCGTGCGAACATCCCCAAACGTCATTTTTCTGGTTTTAAATCATTTCCAGACACTATCGTAAGTCACGTGTCGGTTGTTTTATGCACATATAAATACAGTATTGCCGCTTTGGGTCTTTCAGTGCTTTGTCTTTATGTATTCTCCCCGATGACCATGACTTTTATGTTTATTTTCAACTGCTTGAACTGATGCTATTATTGACCAAACCGTGATATGATGTCTTTTTTTCTGCTGTTCTGCCTCATCACTGTTGAGCACTTGCCAGGGCATTACCTATATATTTCCCCCCTCCATTTTTGGAGCTATTTTCACATGTTGCAATAAAAACTCTTATTATAGAAGAGTTCCGTGTTGTGTTTTCTGACATCGTGTTTCTCATCACGTGACAGCGCACGGTAGGCCACTAGTCTGAGACGCCATAATTCATAAAGTGCGAATACCAAATATATCGTACACATTGCTCTTGTAGCTTGACAATGCCGGAAATAATACATGGTTCACAAATGTTCGAACATTTTTCTTATTTGGTTTTGGTTTTGTAGGGTTATCCCAAACAGTTGGGGATACAGCTCTGCGTTTCTAAAAGTATTCAAAAATATGTTGGTTAACAATTTTTTACCACAATTGTAGTTCGCTGTCAGAAAATAGTTCTCGATTTACAATATTCATAAAAGCTTGAACCCGAGAAGTATTTTTATACAATAACTCTGAGACAATATGGTTCAGTATTTGTCAACTTTAATAATATTTAATCAAAGAAGGTATCATGCCATAATTATTACGTGTAGATGCATTATGAAACAATAGCATTGAAAGATTGTTTTAATTAGCACCTTACGAAGACAAAACATTCCATTATTCGGTTAATCCTTCTATCTGGCATCTTAACACCAGATACTTCGGATATGGGGTCTCGTCAGCCTTGGATGGTTGCTCTTCCAGAAGATGGAAAACTCTCTTGAGACGCCTCTGATACCAAGCAGTATTGAATTTTCCCCTCCCCTTGTATGTGTCAACAAGCCAAGAATAGGAGGGAACCTGTTGCATGGACCACCCTGGCCCTCCACATGAACTGCCCAGGCCTGCACCTAGAGAGTGAACTCCAGCATTGCCTCACGGTGACGGCACAACCCAGTAAGCAGGAATCTTCCAGTGATAAGCCCAGATTGATCAGTGTAGAATATAGCACCGGGGATGCTTCCTATGGTAGGGTGGATCAAATAATTGTGCTCTGAAAAGCATGACCGACAGACTGTAAACATTGCACCAGAAAAGGCAACAAAAAAGAAGATGGTTGGGATGCTGGTATGTTCTCAAGGGGATCACCATATCCAGTGAAGATAACCTGCAACAATGACTTCAATGAAAGAGTGGGTACTGATCTAGAATTACGACCCTGCTGTCAGCGCAATACGGAATTGGCAAAATAAATGAAGATGGACTGGAGGCAGTGACATCAAATGAACCTGATCACGACAAGGTGGTGCCACCTCAGTCATGTGCTTATAACATCGACTGCCTCACAGACCATGTCGTGGTCTGCTGCATGATCAGATTCCAGCCAAACGAGAGGGACAGACTCGTCTCGATATCAGCAAGACCTCGCACCCACAGCGATTGGACTCCTTTACTGGTGCCATGTATGATATCCGGTTACAGAACCTCCACTGGGAGATGCCAAGCAAAGATGGGGCCACGCGAGAGACACTCTCCACGCCACTACACTCTCAGCCTTTGGGCACTAGAAACCACATGATTGGCTGAATTCCACTCCTGCATGCTCATCCCTCTCACTAGGGAAAGGTGCACAGCACTAATAAAATTCCAACGCTTCCCCAACCAGAAGATCCTGCAAACTCTCGGAACAGATGGAAGCAAATTACAAATAAACAACAACAATATGCACGAACAACTACTTTCTGCACACCTGCATGGGCATCCAGTGATCAACTGGTGATGGGATGATCCAAGGTGTGTACACCAGCATCAGGAGAGGCATCAGTCCAACTCAAAGATGGTGCCCCTGAAGTCTGCAACAGGCAAACGATCAGTGACGGAGAGTAGTTGAGCACTACTAAACTCTACTCCAGGGAAAGCAATGGCGTGAAGCCCTTTAGCACCGGCCACTAAAGGAGGAGGCAGACGACGTGAAATCCTCTGTTGAGGAGCTGATCAACATGTGCGTGCGTCGCGCGCAAACTCTCGGATGTGTTTTGGTGTTATGTTTAACGGACATTAACGTATTTGCAACGTGTTTGTCGTCAACACTTATTTGTTCCAATACTTGGTGCATCCCCCTTTTTAAAGAGTATATAACTATAATTTCACCTTTCACCTCGACCAGCATTAAAAAAATCACATACGGCTTTTTCTTAAATTCTTACATGTTCTTTTTACTTCAACCACTGTGGAAAAAACATAACCAGCAAAACAAGAAATTATGACTCAGATCTGCCGCTGTGACGCTTGACGCCACCAATTGATGTGTCGCATGTAGCTGTTGTTGCAAATAACTTTGGACTACCAGCTGTAACGTTATATTTATTCACTGGAGTGCGCTATCGGGGACCCACACACACACTGTAACCATACACGAAGCTCTGTTACTCACATGACAAATGGGGATCTTGTCAATCTTGACCAGCGACGAGTAGCTAAGGGACGTAACTCTAAATCAAGCAGACAAAGTAGTGCAATCCAAACGAAAGCACGACAGAGGTTAGATGATCATAGGAGTTGTTTTTATGTTTTTTAAGAAAGTAAATGTACCAAAAGAATTAACTATCGAAACTATCGATAGTAAGACAAACTATCGCCTATAGCACAGCATATTTCAATGCTCACTGCAACTGCACTGTACGAGTTGTTGCCACAAAGCTTCGGACTCATTTTAGGTATTTGGGTTTACAAATACGGGTTATAGCGAAAACGGCACTTCGGCAAAACGTCACCGGGCGAAAACGGCACCGATTGGCGAAAACGGCACCTCGACTCGAGCGAAAACGGCTACTGTGGCCTGGCGAAAACGGCACCTTATTTTTTCTTTTACCTTGGTCAAATAAGTGCTATTAAACTTATATGGTAACTTGCAAACACCAATAATTGTGAGATGCTAAAACAAGTGTACATTAGAAATTAGCCTCTACTCCAACTATAATCCAACTTAGCGTATACGCAACACAACTTATTGTGAAAACATGACATGCTTTGAAGAAAAATAATAGAAATTAAACTCAAGTCGTCTCTTACAAACACAAATAATTGTGAAATTGTGAAATAAAACAAGTAAGAAATTAAACCCCTAATCCAATTTACTCGCCGACTGATTGGGAGGCGCAGTTAACTTAATGTGAAAACACTATAAGCTTTGAAGTTTTAAGTACCTTTACTCAATTTAAACTGAAACTGTATTTAAGAGGCCTAACATGGTGCTGTCAGATCACAATTATTCACAATGGCCTTTCGATGTGTTGCATGAGAGAAGAATGTCAGAAAACAACAACATGCTGTGATAACTGTGACCATGTAAATAAACAATATATATTACTACAAAAATCGTTCTTATCCTTATTAAAAATAGAGGTGCCGTTTTCGCCCGACACATAGTAGCCGTTTTCGCCAAATGCGGTGCCGTTTTCGCCAGAGAAATCGGTGACGTTTTGCTGGGGTGCCGTTTTAGCCTGCACCCTACAAATACGTCACGCCGGGGTTCACAACACGGGAATGTTCTGGTTCAATGGTGACAGAATGATGCTAGTGGTGACGATTGGTCAGGATTATCGACTTGTCGTCTTTTGATTGGTTCTAATTGCGAGCTTGCATCAGCTGTATTTCTAATTATATCATGGAATTCCCCAGACTTTCTTTCTCGGCTTCATGTATAATATACAGGACCCCTTCTCGTAGTCGAGCTGACGTGTTTGATTCAAGACTTGTAAAACAGAAAACACAGCTACATTCTCGCGATGGACAACATCCTATTTGGAGTTCTTTTGTTCATTATCGTGCTAGTAATTATTGTAATTACTATTGACGGATGCATCATCCACTATCGGTGTTGTAGGGATGACCACAAGTACAGGTAAGTACAAGACAACTTTGATGCTAAGGAACGCCTACATATGGAATTCGTGCATATTCATGGGACAAACCCCCCTTCGATAGGTTGTTTGGTCCATGAGTATGCCTGCATTTAGCTAAAAAGTCTTGTGGATCAACCAATCTCAAAATCATATCTTAGGTTTCGCTATCGCTGAACAAAGATCTGAGGACATCCCATTACGGGTCACGTCTAAACGATCTTTCATCCAACCAATCAGAGCGTCTCTTACCAGATCATGAAAGTGACAGTCGGAATGTGTACCTCGGAATCAAGCAACCTCGAAATATTTAACACGGGGTATTCCGAACGGAAGTTCCGTTTTTTTATTATATCCATACAATCTAGGGTACCTATAAGCCATTCCAGAATGTTCTTTTTATCAGTTTAAAAAAAATAAAATCGAGAATACGTCAAAATAAGTTTCGAACCGGTCGTTTTGACGTGACCCGTAATGGGATGTCCTCAGATCTTTGTTTAGCGGTCGCGAGAACTAAGATCTGATTTTAATGAGATTGTGTGGATCAACACAACATCACGGAAGTTTGTCGCATATCAGCTATTGATGCAAGCAGATTTACTGTGATAATTCGCAATATGTAACCCATTAAGGTGAAACAAATTGTGACTTATACGTGGTACTTCAGAATCAGGAATTAAAAACATCACAGACATGAGTGAATTTTTTATTTCATTTAAAAAGTAGAAACAAACATATCATGGAGGGTGGGGGGTGGGGTGAGATCAAACGAATATTCTCTTTCACAAGATTGACTTCCTGATCATGAAATGCCCCAACCCCCAAATTTTGACTGACACCATCAAAATAATTATAACTTTCTGATACTATTTGTAAAGAAAACAAGAAATGGAAAGAAAACAAGTTCAAATTGACCTCACAAAAACATTTTAATACAAAATTTCACTTCATGTAACTGGTAAAGTCTTAGGTTACTGCAGCGCTTTAGCACCAATGTGAATGAATGTGTTCGAATGACTAGTATTTGACTATACAAACTGTCAAATTCTTAATTGTCACATTTGCATTCACTGAATGACTAAATACGATTCAAGTTCATTCAACATATCAATTAGGAAACAAAGTTGACAAAAATTGCATAAAAGTAGACAGACTCATCTGGCTTCTGACTCCTAACAGCAATAGTGTGCTTGAAAAAAACATTATTGACCGGGAGACTGAAGACCGGGATCCCCCTTTTTCACGTGGACGAATATCTGGGTGCCGCCTTGTCAAGTGGTCGGTCAGATTAGTAGTATTTCCTGAATACTTTAGAATTATCCGACAGATTGCTTGTCTGTCTCGTTTTGCCTGTTGATAAAACTAAAATGGTCCCATACCGTCGATTTGCCTGCCTTATTGGCGACATATTTTTTAAATATAAATTGTGGTGTTACTATGAGTAAAAGTTCAAATACTACATTGTAATTTGTTCGTTTCGTTCGGTTTCTGAATCTTAGCTGATACATGTATATGGCGCAATCGATATTGGTGCCATCTGACAATTTATTTTTCAACATTGCCATTGCAGCATGAGCTATCACGACCTTTACTATATTGGTTCGGGACCTACCGTTTGATATTAGGAAGTAAATCCTGAAACAAACAAATACCAGACTCCTCAATTTCGTGAAACCAGCGTTTTTCAAGCATTTCAGCCAATCTTATATATCTACTCATTTCAGAAGTCCCACACTTACAAGTGTAAGAAAGAAATATGGCTAGTTGTCAGATATTTGAAAATGTCTAATATATTTCATTGCAATTATAAGTTATACTTACTTTCAAATTTGACAATCAATTGGGCGAAAAGCGTTATTTAAGAGTTATCTTAATTTTGTAAAATAAAAGTGAACAGGTTTCTTTCACAGAAACCGCAAAGTGTTAAAAACTGAATCATTGATTTGATGTGTAGCAGCAACATGGTGAAATTAAGAATTCGTCATGCCGGTAAAATAAAATAAATGCAGAATAATAGTCGGTTTAGTAGGAAAATCACGATAAGTATTCAGACGAGAAATCTGCAAGAATATTCGCAGAAACCACAAGTTCCAGAAATCTGAATGTCCATGAAGATGTGTAGAACCGTGATATTGCTGGAATATTGCTACACGCGGCATAAAATCACATGCACTGACTCACACCGATAACGTGACTTATGAATGTTCACACCATAGACTTGAAAAGTTTAACATTTCACTCAACGTTGACAATACATCAAGGTTACAGTGTATATTACAGAAAATGCTTTGTCAAATGTAGTGATATTGTCCATTATTAAAAGTATTTTACATTGAGGTCATAATTGCCCTCTCACATCAAACAGAGCGCATTACACAACAAATTTACCGCCTCCGGAGAGCGGATGGTCCGGGGTTCGATCCCCGGCCGCGTACCAAAAATCGTTAAAAGATGGTACTTGTTGTTACCCTGTCTGGCGCTCGGCATTAAGGGTCCAAAACAAGGACTGTTCGGCTCAGAGTCAGTATACTGTGTCTGAGTGGGGTATTCATGTTAAACTGCGGCATGGTATCTCAGTGAGCTAGCACTATGAATCGGCATCAGTACAAGCAGCCACACACACACACATACACGTGCATGCACGTCGCTATATAAGTGCAATAATCTTGTACGTGACGTTAAACCCCATTTCACCTTATATCCTATGTGATGGGTAAGTATTTACAACATATGGAATTTGGGTGTACCTGGTGAGCGTGTTTCTTCACGGTTACTAAACACCTAGAGATTGCAAATAGTGAGACATTTATATCTGGATCCAGATGCCGGGTATTGCATCCCCTCATCTGTTCCTCGTTCAATATCCGTTTGTCCGCGTGTCACTACTGGCGGCTACACATCGTCCAGTTGGCGGATTTGCGCAGTACATGTAGGATTTGAATACTATTAGGGATTCCAGATCGAAAAGAAAACCCGAGGTTATTTCGAGCGGGGTGCCTTCTTATTTTTCAAAACCCGTACCGGCTTTTGTTTCCGATCTGGAATCCTTATTCAACGGTTCACTTTTGATAAAATAAACACAAGTATTTGGAGGTAACTGTTTAAAAAGAGATTGGTACATATGTTTCAAGATATTTCATGATTTATATCCAATCGAAACTGAAGGGATACAGTAGCCACGGGTAGATTTATATCAGGATAGTTCCTGCCGCTCTATTGTGCAATGCGATAATGAAGGTACTTGTCAGACAACTGAATCTTTTCGAATGTGTCGTCGCTATATGGCTGAAATAATGCCGATGCGACATTCACTCACTCACTCACTCACTCACTCACTCACTCACTCACTCACTCACTCACTCACTCACTCACTCACTCACTCACTCACTCACTCACTCACTCACCAGCCTAAGGGAGATAACGCTCAAATAATTTAAGTTCCTTCCATGTTTGATGTTTTCTATTTCTATGTCATCCCCAGTTGTTATGCTATAAATGATTGACTTGATACAATACACTATATATGGTATTGCTGTGTTGAGGGTATCCTTGACAAGAATGGCAGTTATTTTAAATTAAATCTATTTCCGAATTTTCACTATGATTGCATTCCTCTCCGACAGGAAACTGAACACCAACACAGGCGAATACGACAATGATATTCCTGAAGGTAATGAATTAATTACACTGTTTGTTCATGTGGGATTTATAAATCTAACACCCAGATGGTATGTTTGAAAAGTGATATCTTTGTTCTATTCTTCTTGTTCTTCTTCCTGTTCTTCTTCTTATTATTATTGGGGGCGGTGGGGTAGCCTAGTGGTTAAAGCGTTGGCTCGTCACGCCGAAGACCCGGGTTCGATTCCCGACATGGGTACAATGTGTGAAGCCCATTTTCCGGTGTCCCACGCCGTGATATTGCTGGAATACTGCTAAAAGCGGCGTAAAACCATACTCACTCACTTATCATTATTATTATTCATTCATTTTTTTATTTTTTTATATTATATCCTGTTAGGATTCAGACTTCAAACATGGGGTAAATGCCAAGGATGCGAAGTCTAAACTGGAATGTTTTCTGGAACAAAAGGAACAAGGTACATGACGCTGCATTCGGTGATCACGTGACAAAGAACATGCAAGGACAAATGGGCTACTTTCAAACTCAAGTATACATCATGGTGACATCTCGATATGACCAGCTGTGTGTGTGTGTGTGTGTGTGTGTGTGTGTGTGTGCGTGTGTGTGTGATTGTGTATGCGTTAGCATGTGTGTGCGTATGAGTGTGAGTGTGCGTGTGAATGTATGTGTGCGTGCGTATGAGAGAGAGAGTGTGTGAGTGTTTGTTTATGTGTGAGTGTGTGTGTGAGAGTGTGTCTGTGTGTAGTGTGAGTTTATGTGGCCGTGTGTGTTTCAGTGAGCAAGTGTGAGTGTGTGTGTGAATATGTGTGTGTGTGTGAGTGTGAGTTTGTGTGTGAATGTGTTTGTGAGTGTGTGTGTTAGTGTTAATGTGTGTGTTTGTGAGAGTGTGTGGTTGGTATGCGTGTCAGTGTGAGTGTCTGATTTGTGAGTGTGAGTTTGTGTGTGAATGTATCTGTGTGAATGAGTGTGTGTGAGTGTGTCTGTCTCTCTGTGTGTGCGAGTGTGTGTGTGCGTGAGAGTGTGTGCCTGTGTGAGTGTCTGTGTGTGAATGATTGAGTGTGTCTGTGTGTATGTGAGTGTGGGTCTGTGTGAGTGTTTGGTTGTGTGTGCGAGTGCATGTGTATCTGTGAGTGTATGTGTCTGTGTTCGAGTGATACAATGATGCAATTTAACATGGATACCTCACTCAGGATAATGCGGTGTACTGACTCCGACCAGTCTTAATTTTACCCCTGTAAGTATGTGAGTGTGTGTGGGTTTGTGAGTGTGTAACTGTGATTGTGTGTTTGTGAGTGTGTAGGTTTCTGTGTGTGTGTGTGTGTGTGTGTGAGTATGTGTGTATATTCGTGAGTGTGTGTGGGTATGTGTGTGAGAGTGTGAGTGTTAGTGAGTGTATGTGTTTATCTGTGTGTGAGTGTGTGTGTGTGTGTGTGAGTGAGTCTCTGTGTGTTCGTGAGTATGTTTGTATGTGTGTCTGTTGGTATGTGTATGAGTGTGTGTTTGTATTTGTGAGTGTGTGTGTGTGTGTTTGTGTGTGTGTGAGAGAGAGAGAGAGAGTGTGTGTGTGTCTGTGTGTAGTGTGAGTGTGTGTCTCTGTATGGGTTTATTCGGCCGTGTGTGTTTGAGTGAGCGAGTGTGGTTGTGTATGTGAGTATTATGTGTGTCCGTGCGTCTGTGAGTTTATGTGTGTGTGAGTGTCTGTGTGTGTGAGTTTGTGTGTGAATGTATCTGTGTGTGAATGAGTGTGTCTGAGTATGTGTCTCTATGTGAGTGTGTGTCTGTCTGTGTGTGTGTGCGAATGTGTGTGTGCGTGAGTAGTGTGCCTGTGTGAGTGTCTCTGTGTGTGAATGATTGTGTGTGTCTGTGTGAGTGTCTGTGTGTGCGAGTGTGTGTATGTGTGTATGTGCATGTGTGTGTGCGAGTGTATGTGTGTGTGCGAGTGCATGTGTGTGTCTGTCTCTCTGTGTGTGTGCGTGAGTGGTGTGCCTGTGTGAGTGTCTGTGTGTGTGTGTGTGTGTGTCTGTGTGTGAATGATTGTGTGTGTGTGAGTGAGTCATGTGAGTGAGTGTGAGTGAGTGTGTGAGTGAGTGAGTGTGTGAGTGAGTGTGTGAGTGAGTGAGTGAGTGAGTGAGTGTGTGTGTGTGTGTGTGTGTGCGTGCGTGTGTGTGTGTGTGTGTGTGTGTGTGCGTGCGTGTGTGCGTTCGTGTGTATGTGTCTGTGTGCATTTGATACAATGATGCAATTTAACATTGATACCTCACTCAGGATAATGCAGTGTACTGACTCCGACCAGTCTGTATTATATCCCTGTTGGTATGTGTGTGTGTGTGTGTGTGTGTGTGTGTGTGTGTGTGTGTGTGTGTGTGTGTGTGTGTGTGTGTGTGTGTGTGTGTGTGTGTGTGTGTGTGTTTGTGAGTGTGTAAATGTGGGTGTGGGTTTGTGAGTGTGGGTGTGAGTATGTGTGTGTATTCGTGAGTGTGTGGGGGGTATGTGTGTGAGAGTGTGAGTGTTAGTGAGTGTATGTGTTTATCTGTGTGTGAGTGTGTGTGTGTGAGTCTCTGTGTGTTCGTGAGTGTGTTTGTATGTGTGTCTGTTGGTATGTGTGTGAGTGTGTGTTTGTGTATGTGTATGTGTTTGTGTATTTATGAGTGTGTGTTAGTTTGTGTGTGAGAGAGTGTGTGTGTGTGCGTGTGTGTGTTAGTGTGTGTGTTTGTGTGTGAGAGAGAGAGAGAGAGAGAGAGTGTGTGTGTGTGTGTGTCTGTGTGTAGTGTGAGTGTGTGTCTCTGTATGGGTTTATTCGGCCGTGTGTGTTTGAGTGAGCGAGTGTGGTTGTGTATGTGAGTATTATGTGTGTCCGTGAGTCTGTGAGTTTATGTGTGTGTGAGTGTCTGTGTGTGTGAGTTTGTGTGTGAATGTATCTGTGTGTGAATGAGTGTGTCTGAGTATGTGTCTCTATGTCAGTGTGTGTCTGTATGTGTGTGTGTGCGAGTGTGTGTGTGCATGAGTAGTGTGCCTGTGTGAGTGTCTCTGTGTGTGAATGATTGTGTGTGTCTGTGTGAGTGTCTGTGTGTGCGAGTGTGTGTATGTGTGTATGTGTTTGTGTGTGTGCGAGTGTATGTGTATGTCTGTCCCTGTGTGTGTGCGTGAGTGGTGTGCCTGTGTGAGTGTCTGTGTGTGAGTGAGTGAGTGTGTGTGAGTGAGTGTGTCTGTGTGCATGTGATACAATGATGCAATTTAACATTGATACCTCACTCAGGATAACGCAGTGTACTGACTCCGACCAGTCTGTATTATATCCCTGTGGGTATGTGTGTGTGTGTGTGTGTGTGTGTGTGTGTGTGTGTGTGTTTGTGTGTGTGTTTGTGAGTGTGTGTAGGGTGTGAGTGTGTATGAGTGGTTGAGTGTGTGTGTGTGTGTGTGAGCGTGTGTGTGTGTATGAGCGTGTGTGTGTGTATGTGTGTCTTAATGTATGTGTGTGAATGTGTGTAAGTGCGTGTGTGTCTGTGTGAGTGTGTTTGTGAGTGTGTATGTGTGTCTCTGTGTGTGTGAGTGTCTGTGTGTTTGTGAGTGTGTGTGTGTGTATGTGTGTTTGTGAGTGTGTGTGTGTGTGTTTGTGAGTGTGTTTGAGTGTTTGTGTGTTTGTGAGAGTTTGTGTGTGTCTGCGGGTATGTGCGTGAGTGTGTGTGTCTGTGGGTTTATGAGTGTGTGTGTGTGTGTGTCTTTATTTTCCCCCTGTGGGTATGTGTGTGTGTGTGTGTTTGTGAGTGTGTGTGTGTGAGTGTGTTTGTGAGTGTGTATGTGTGTCTCTGTGTGTGTGAGTGTCTGTGTTTGTGAGTGTGTGTGTGTGTGTATGTGTGTTTGTGAGTGTGTGTGTGTGTGTGTGTTTGTGAGTGTGTTTGAGTGTTTGTGTGTTTGTGAGAGTTTGTGTGTGTCTGCGGGTATGTGCGTGAGTGTGTGTGTGTGTGTGTGTGTGTGGGTTTATGAGTGTGTGTGTGTGTCTGTATGTGTGAGTGTGTGTGTGATTGTGTCTGAGTGAGTATGTGTGTGTCTTTGATGGCTGTCTGTGTGTGTGTCTATGTGCAATTTAACATTGATACCTCACTCAGGATAACGCGGTGTACTGACTCCGACCAGTCTTTATTTTACCCCTGTGGGTATGTGTGTGTGTGTGTTTGTGTGTGTTTGTGTTTGTGTGTGTGTGTGTGTGTGTGTGTGTGTGTGTTTGTGTGTCTGTGTGTTTGTGAGTGTGTGTGTGTGTATGAGTGTCTGTGTGTACGTGTGTGTGTCTGTCAGTGTCTGTGTGTTTGTGCGTGAGTCTGTGTGTCTCTGTGTGTGTCTCAGTGAGTGTGTGTGTCTGTGGGTATGTGCGTGAGTGTGTGTGTCTGAGTGTTTGTGATTTTGATTGATGTCTGTGTGTGTCTATGTTCCATTTAACATGGATACCTCACTCAGGATAACGCTGTGTACTGACTCCGACCCGTCCAGTCTTATTTTATCCCCTTAATGCAGAGCGCCACCCTTTAACGTCGTTTGGTATAACGCGGCCAGGAGATCGCACCTTCCGCTCTCAGGGCCTAACGCTAAACCACAGACCGATGTACAACTGTATTGTAAATTCAATATGCAATATAACCATGAGAGGCGGCTCGATCGCAAATTTTGAATTTAATGAATTACTGGCGATCAATAATGTAACGATTATTAATTGTCATTATAAAATCAATTAAAATACACGTCTTTCTAAGGTCCTCTTTGTTCAACGGGATCTGCATGCCTTTAGAAAAAAGCAAAATTGTTAGAAATTATTATGAACCTTTTCACTTGAAAAGGAAACTTTGTTCTTTGGACATATATTTTGAAGTTTTGGGTTACAACAATGAATGTAGAGGAAAGGCTAGATTCAAAATGGGTTTTTGTTCAGCTGCTTTTAACATGAGCAATTCCTTGGGGGAAAGCACACACGTATAGTAAAACACTGTCTTTGGTCACAGTAAGGGACTGAGTGAGTGAGTATGGTTTTACGCCGCTTTTAGCAATATTCCAGTAATATCACGGCTTCATGGGCTTCACACACTGTACCCATGTGGGGAATCGAACCCGGTCTTTGGCGTGACGAGCGAACGCCTTAACCACTTGGCTACGCCGCCGCCCCCTTAAGTCACAGATTTCTTCGCACTTTCTCGCAGATCTTTTGAAGATGTAATCTATTGATGTAAGTGACACTTTTGACCAAAATCAGAATAAGAAAAGAAAGGTTTTCATTCATAAATATGTTTGAACATTTCCTACAATATTTCATATATTTCCATAACTCTAAGGCACGAATATCATTATCCCTCGACGTTTTTCTTTCAGAACGAAAGAGGTGTAATGGCAGCATGACACTGACAATCATAACAGGGAAAGGTAACCACAGCCCTCATGGACACCCCGTTCTGAAGCCGGTAGTCAAGAAATACCTGGAAAACAACGGCTACACGTGAGTAATCATGTACCTTTTACACAAGTTCCTTAATCTAACAGGATCTAATATACTGTATTTGCTATAAATAGCTCATCCCTTGTCATTGATGGACCGCCGCCGTGGTCTAGTGGTAGAGCGTCCGCCCGGAGAGCGGGAGGTCCGGTGTTCGATCCCCAGCCGCGTCATACCAAAAGACGTCAAAGATTGTACTTGTTCTTACCCTGTCTGGCTTGGCATTAAGGGGCTTAAACAAGGACTGGTCGGCTCGGAGTCAGTATACTGTGTCTGAGTGGGGTATTTATGTTAAACTGCGGCATGGTATCTCAGTGTGCTAGCACTATAAATCGGCATCAGTCCGGACTAGTACAAGCAGCCGCACGCACGCACGCACCCAGACAAACACACACACACACACACACACACGCACGCACGCACACACAGACAAACACACACACACGCACAGACACACACACAAAAAACACACACACGTGCATGCACGTCGCTATATAAGTGCAATAATCTTGGACGCGACGTTAAACCCCATGTCACCTTACCTCACCTTGTCGTTGACCGGATGATCGTGGGCTCATTCTCAGATTCAATCCGACTATGACCCTTGGTCCGTCAGCACCATACCCGTGGCGGTGGGATAGGATACAGGTTAAAGCGTTCGCTTTAAATTAGATGTATGGCACTTACTCTGATGATGAGTTAGTGAGTTTGATTTCACCCCGCTTTCAGCAATATTCCAGCAATATGACGACGGGAGAACAGCAGAAATGGGCTTATCACATTGTTCCTATGTTGGGAATCAAACCCGGGTCTTGGGCATGACGATGCTCACAAGGCTACCCTATATCACATGAACTGGTGACATTTCTGCTTAGTTTCATTTCCTAATGAAATATCAATCTCATTAAAATCAGATCTAAGTTCTCGCTATCGCTAAACAAAGATCTGAAGACATCCCATTATGGGTCACGTCAGACCGATCTTGCGCGAACTTTGACCGACCAATGGACTGACCATCAGAAGGGTGCTTTCTCGTGCTTTACGGCACTAATTTCAAATTGGCGACTACGCTTCGAAACATATTTTGACAAATTATCGGTTACAAATTGGAAACCTGAACAAAAGGACATTCTGGAATGGCTAATAGATGGTCTAGATTGTATGGATTCAGTCGTTTAACCCGTAACCATCGTTCGGGATACCCCGTGTATAAAGTTTTCTTGGTTGCATGATTAGAAATCACATTCCGACTGTCACTTTCATGATCTGGTAAGCGACGCTCAGATTGGTCGGATGAAAGGTCGGTCTGACTTGACCCCTAATGGGATGTCCTCAGATCTTTGTTTAGCGGTAGCGAGAACTTAGATCAGATTTTAATGAGATTGAATGAAATATGCAACTGTGTCAAACTGTGTACAGTAAAATACGTTCATAACGAACACGCTTATAACGAACTGACGGATATAATAATTTTTTCGTCGCGGCCATTTGCTGTATACATGCTGTATATATGCTTTAACGAACTACGGTTATAACGAATTAAAATAGGTTGCCCCTTTGAGTTCGTTATAACCGTAGTTTACTATATATAAAAGAGAAAGAACATTTGAGGTTTAACTTTCCTCTTTACTCTAATAACCAATATATCACGTCGGAGTGAGCTAGAAATAGTCGTCACGCATTGTATCCATCTAGGGAATCGAACCAGGGCCTTCGTTGTGAGGAGCGAACGCTTGATCTACTAGGTGTCCTAGGCCCCTAGATTAACAAGACAGTTAACTAGTAATTGTTTTATTTGGTGTGCTCATTGTGTTCTTTTTATATTTCAGACATAATGTAGATCCCCAAAATACGGGTCGTCTCTTTGTTCAGCTACCATGATGTAGTTTAAGGAAGGATTTTTCGCCTCCTCCGTGGTAGAGCGTCCGCCCCGGGAGGGGAAGGTCCAGGTTACCAAAAGACGTTAAAAGATGGTACTTGTTATTACCCTGTCTTGCGCTCGGCATCTAATGAAATTATGTGTGCCAATCCTCATATTACGACTGGAGACATTTTCTGATGATAGTATTGATATAATAGTATAAATAATAAATAAAACATTTCGTCACAGTCATCCTTTTTTGTTTTCATTTGTTTTTATTGTGTTCAAGGAACCACCTTTCCTGTCAACGTAATTGCCTTTGACACTATTTGTAATCAGCAACAAATAAATCATGTGAAGTTTTGTCTAACTAGTATCTGCTATATTTTGTTATTGACATTATGCTACATGTTAACTGTAGCTGTTGTGAACATGTTATATTGCTGCATTACCAATCCACAGCATTATGAAAACGGAATGTGCTAGCAGGTGGACTTGTGTTTAACTATAGGCTGTTGGGGTCGTAATCGGTACTCACTTTAATACATGGCGATAAAATTTCATGAAAATATCTTCTAGCATAACATTTCTGCAATGTGTTTGTTTGTTTGTTTGTTGTTTAATGCGCTCTCAGCAACATTCCAGCTATATGACGGCGGTCTGTAAATAATCGAGTCTGAACCAGACAATCCAGTGATTGATATCATGAACAATGTGTTGAAAACATTGCAATAACATGTTATGAAACAGTATCGCCTATGTTACAGCATGATGTTCTCAATAACATTTCAATAACATTTCAATAACATTTCATGAAATCGTTTCTGGCATAACATTTCTGCAACATGTTGAAAACGTTGTAAGAACATGTTATGAAAGAGTTTCGCCTATGTTATAGCATGATGTTCTTGAAAAACATTTTAAAACATTTCAATAACATTTTGAATAATAATTAAACATTTACACCTTATTCGGATGATTTTACATATGAATACACAATGTATTGAAAACATGATAATAACATTTCATTAAATATGTTCTGGCAAAACATTTCTGCAACGTGGTGAAAACATTGCAATAACATGTTATGAAACAGTATCGCCTATGCTATAGTATGATGTTCTTGAATAACACTATAAAAACATTTCAATAACATTTCAAGAAATAGCTCCTGGCATAACATTTCTGCAACGTGTTAAAACATTGTAATAACATGTTATGAAATAGTTTCATGTTATAGCATGATGTTTCTGAATAGCCGTGATATTGCTGGAATATTGCTAAAAGCGGCGTAAAACCATACTCCCTCACTCACTCACTCACTCACTCTGAATAACATTTTGAAAACATTTCAATAACATTTTGAATAGTTGTAAAACGTTAATGAAATGTTTTGATGAAAATGTTTTTGAAAAACTACAATGAAACCTTTTGAAAATGTTTTGAAAATGTTTGTGTTAGCTGGGTATATATCTATATATCTATATCTATAACAGCTTCAGTAGCAGAGGCATTAGTGATGTCATTTGATTGTGACGACATGGTAACCTATGACGTCGCAAAGGTCTGCAGAGATGTGATTCAATTTCATTTCAACTCGTACCACGTATAGCAATAATTAAATAAATGGAGTAAGATTGATCATGAACCTACATTATATCAAAAAGAGCAACCTTGCATTCATAAATACGCGTCTAAGTTAAATGTATACCTTGGTATTGTGACGTCATAGTTCTCCTAAATGTTATGACGTCAAGTAACTATATGTTATAACTTCATGTCCGTTATTCAGTTATGGCCTGATGAGACTCATACGTGGTACGAGTTGAACGCTCTAGCCAATAAAAACTGAGTTCATTCTTACTCCACTTCTTTAATTATTCGCGTAACATTTGTGCGACTCATGACGAAGAGATTGAACTATAACCATCAGGATATACTGTACAAGTTAACATGTCCGTTATTCAGTTATGGCCTGATGAGACTCATACGTGGTACGAGTTGAACGCGCTAGCCTATAAAAACTGTGTTCAATATCTTACTCCACTTCACTAAATATCAATTAGATCCAAGATTTCTGGGGTTTTTTCAAGTACTAACGTCCTTGCTTTGGGATTGTTGATATGCTTATAATTTTCAAAATCGACATTTGATTCGTTTTCAAATTCGTCAATATTATTGAACAAAGTATTGTAAAAAGCAGGTTCCTCTTGGTTTGGCCCATAAATATTAGTCAGAGTTAACATTATGCCCTTTATTGTAATATCTGCTATTATATAGTTTCCATTAATATCTTGTTTAAATCCATGGAGTTTTATTTCTAAAGTATTACAAAACAAAATCGCAACTCCTCTTGCATTTGACTTGTAAGGCGGTATTATACTTTGAAGTCCCCATTGATTTCTAATAAATGTTCGTCTTCTTTAGAAATATGAATGTCTTGTAGACATATTATAGAAATGGGGAGGTCACTCTTGTATGACAATTCTTCCGTCAAAGTGTTATTTTCGCAGCAGTGAAATCTGTTATGTGTTATGTTCACGGCAGTGAAATATCAATATCTTCACTGTATATAATAAATATATTGATGTCTTGGTGGAAAGAACATATTCGATTGTACTCCAAGTGTTGTGGAATGTATATATTGATGTCATGGTAGAAAGGACATGTTCGATTGTACCTCAAAGGTTGTGGAATGTATATATTGATGTCTTGGTGGTAAGAACATGTTCGATTGTACCTCGAGGGTTGTGTAATGTATATATTGATGTCTTGGTGGAAAGAACATGTTCGATTGTACTCCAAGTGTTGTGGAATGTATATATTGATGTCATGGTAGAAAGGACATGTTCGATTGTACCTCAAAGGTTGTGGAATGTATATATTGATGTCATGGTAGAAAGAACATATTCGATTGTACTCCAAGTGTTGTGGAATGTATATATTGATGTCTTGGAAGAAAGAAAATGTTCGATTGAACCTCGAGGGTTGTGTAATGTATATATTGATGTCTTGGTGGAAAGAACATGTTCGATTGTACCTCAAGGGTTGTGAAATGTATATATTGATGTCATGGTACAAAGAACATGTTCGATTGTACTCCAAGGGTTGTGGAATGTATATATTGATGACATGGTAGAAAGGACATGTTCGATTGTACCTCAAAGGTCGTGCGTCCAAGGTAACTGAGTTTATATAACCACGCGTGTGTGCGTGCGTGCGTGCGTGCGTGCCTGCGTGCCTGCGTGCGTGTGAAGGTATCACATTATATGTTATTATTTAATTAACGCCCAACATAGCAATATGACGGCAGCCTGTAAATAATCGAGCCTGGACCAAACAATGTAGTGATTGATATTATGAGCAACGATCACGCCGTCCGGGACGATGGCCCCATGAGCCAAGTCCCCGAGGCAAACTACCTTGTCCATTTCGTTGCTTCCGCCACAGACGTAGTGTGTTTTATTCGGACACATCGGCCCGATGATTCCCGCTTCGTGTATTGTATAATGTTTTCAAAAACTCGCAACGGAGAAACTAAGTATTCATGATGTTTATTTTACAGAATTTCTAATATAGAGAAACTCACAGTTGTTCAATTCCCTGAAATCCGTAAAACATCTTGACGGAATGCGGATAAACAAAAGCCTTTCCCATCGGAAAGCATGGTACTCACTCCACGCCCCAAGGGAGCTAAAAATACTCACCACTAATGAGAAGAAACAATAAAGCGCCGTTAAAATATCTTATTACCATTTCTGACTGACCAGCGTTACATTTCCCCCAAATTACTATTAACCTTATTTACATTAAACAATGAGAAATGCTGATGTGGTATAAATATAAACACAATGGTTTGGCTAACAATACAGTATTGCAAGTGCAGATAGGCAAGTGTCATACCCTGACAATGAACAAAGGTTTATGCTTTTTGGCAAAACACATAATCATACAAAATAATAAACATGAAAATAAACATCATTGTGACAAAGTTTATAGTTCGGATCGGATTCGGAATCATCACTCACAAAGTTCAATGAACCCGAAAATGAATTAACACAGTTCGGCACACCATACTGCAAATGAATTTACACACATTAGAACACAGTTAGTTCTCTTTTTCTAAGAGAAGCACAAGTTTGTGAACTGGTCTCACAAAGTTTGATTCACCACAGTCTACTTTCACAGTTCTGACTAGACCATTTTCACTAAGGCACACTTCTGAGATGCGTCCAAGCTTCCAATGATTCCTTGGAATATTGTCGTCCTTGATTATCACGATGTCGTTTGCAGAAAGATTTCTACCTGGGGCAGTCCACTTCTGCCGCAACTCAAGACTTTGCAGATACTATGAACTCTGCGCCATCGCTTCCTGGAATACATGTCCTCCTTAATGAATGTTCCAGGTGGCTGAAGGATTACCTTAGACTTCATGGTAAGAAGGTTATTTGGTGTCAGAGGTTCTGGAGTGTCAACAGTTAAGAGTCTGCTGTTTACAATGGCAGCAGTTTCACACATCACAGTACGGAGGGATTCATCATCCAACTTTGATCCTAAGTCATGAAGTAAAGCAGATATCACGTTTCTTGTAGTTCTAATCTGCCTCTCCCAGACACCACCCATATGGCTTGCACATGGTGGGTTAAACTTGAACTCAAAGAAATCACAGTCTCTCTGCAATAGGAATTGTCTCAATTTTCTTTGATCAAGATTTGTTAGAAAACCATACAGTTCGTTCATTGCCCCTACAAAGTTAGTATCTTGATCGCATCGTAGTTGACGGATCGGACCACGCACTGACATAAAGCGTCTTAGGGCGTTCATAAATGAGTCTGTACTCATTGACACAACAGTCTCTATGTGTATTGCTCGGCAACACAGGCATGTGAACAGACCGCCGAATCGCTTTAACTCCTTTCTCCCTTCCTTTATATAAAAGGGTCCGAAACAGTCAACTGCACAGAATGAAAATGGAGGAGCTGCTTCTGTCCTATCAATGGGAAGATTTGACATCTTCTGGACTTGAGCCTTGCTCCTGACATTCCTACACGAAACACATGTCAAAATGTAGTAGGACACACCTGAGCTACAGCCTTTGATCCAGTATCCACTTGATCTGATCTGATTGAGTGTTGGACCTTTTCCCTGATGATGAACTTGTTCATGGCAATGGCGGATAACAAGTGTTGTTATGTGGTGCTTATTTGGCAAGATAACAGGGTGCTTAAGGTTTTCACTAATCTGAG